TGTGTGTGTGTGTGTGTGTGTGTGTGTGTGTGTGTGTGTGTGTGTGTGTGTGTGTGTGTGTGTGCGCGTGTGTGTGTGTGTGTGTGTGTGTGCATGGGGTGTGTGCGTGCGCGTGTGCATGTGTGCGTGCGCACATGCGTGTGTACGTGACGCGTGTGTATGTGGGCGCGTGCGTGTGTATGTGAATGTAAGCTGGCGGCGATAAGTGAGATTGGCGGTATTACGAGGGGCGGTATAACGAGGTTTTACCGTAGTCTACAATTTTGCCACACATCCACACACCTAGCCCCCCACACACGCCTCCCCCTACATTCCCTAAAAAAATAAAAATTTAATAAAAATTTAAATTTAAAATTTAAATTTAAAATTAATTAATTAATTAATTAAACATTAGGTATAGATCGGTACCCCATCCCATGTGGGTTTTCTGACTAGTGGGTTTTCTGACTAGTGGGCTTTCGGACTAGTGGGTTTTCGGACTAGTGTAGTGGGCTTTCGTTTCGGACTGGTCTCTATTCACTATTGGGCCGTCGGACTAGCGAGCTGTAACCCAGCTTAATGTACCTATTATAATATATGTACAACGATTTATTCCAAGACAAGTCCACAACTAACAGTAGATATGACAACTTATATGGAGTGACGTTAATATCAACATATTTTTACCTGTGTTTCGAGTTCTTTATTTTCGGCATTAGAAATAGGTAATTTTCCACCACTGCTATCAAACTTCATTTCATCGATGACACCTTCCATGAGTTATAGAATAATAGCAAACAAAAATCAGTATAGCAGTATATTATTGAATGTCTTTCACCGTCCTCTAAGCAAAAAATAGTATTGCTATATTGATTCTTCAGTCTACTACATAAAATATTCCTAAAATACAGCTCGCAATACAGTAATTTGTAAATGTGATGGCAACAGTATCTAACCGGAAGTACGTGCTGCCATCTATATTATTGACATGCATATTTGCTTAATTTTATTTTTTGTATTTCACGCTTACTTACCTTCAGGCCACTGCTCAGCCACAGCTTCAGCCTTGACCCATCTTGCTTACTTATAAAGTGCATCTCCAATTCTAGGTGCTTGGTGAGTACTGCTACTATAATTAGTACCGTATTTAGTAGTTCATGGTGGAAGTTCAGAAGTAAATCTCCGTAGTATTTGTTGCACGGTGAGTTTGTTGATGTTTGTTGATGATGTTATTATAATTATTGCCATATTCATGATATTGGATAGTTTGGGACCACTGGCATCAAGAACAAGTCCGCAACGTTGTAGATAGTCAGCCGTATAGTCAATAGTAGACCAATAAATTGTGCCCTAAAAATTGTTATATTCTGATGTTATATTAGGCCTAAAATAACATCAAAATATAAAAATTTTTAGGGCACAATTTATTGGTCTAAATCAATAGTCTGCGTGTGTGCTGTAGCTGCAGGTGCGGACTTGTTCTTGCTGCCAGTGTTTGGGACTCCTACAATACTGTCATAATTATTGAATATGTTTACACATAATTATGATGTGCTACACCAGAGCCAGAGGCAGCACAGGCACTTGGAGCGTTTCAATAAAATGTAATGCTAAATAAATATGAAATCTATTTAGGCCAAAACAAAATATAGGTGTGGTTACCGTTTTCCGACCGACCCTATTTATTCCCAGCGACCCTAAACATTTTATTGTAAATTTTCTGTAAAGTAAAAAAAAAATTTTTTTTTTAATAAAAATAAATATGAATTGGACAGTTCCTGCTTCAAAAGGCACAACGCACATCCTTCGGACATGGTTCGTAAATAAAATGTTTAAAGGCCTCCTTTAGTGATGAAAAATAGTTACATATATCAAATTAACTATGTTATGTACAACTACTGAGAA